ATGGAGATAAAAGGGAACAGTATAAGTTACAGGCGTTTGCAGATGACCTAGCCTTTATTTTAGAAGACCCATGGATTAAACCTTTCTTTGAACGTTATATGGCCTTCACTTCTGGATTTGTGGTAATTGAATTTCCATGCATCACTTTTAATTTTTTAATTCTTAATTATTTATTTTATTTTTTCCAAGAATCTGAGTAAATAGAGTGATTGTTGGCAGAAGAGCTTTCCTGGGGAATCAGGATGGTATTTTTTTTTAAGCCTAAGCTGACTGACAATAATTTAGCATCATTTGTTCTCTTGACCCAACCTTTAAATCGGTTGGATAGAAAGAAAGTTCTCTCTCCTTGACCTTCATCACTCATCCAAAATATTACCTGGGATTCTTGCAAGATGCATGATAAACACATGAAGAGTATAAAAAGAAATCAAAAGGATCTGGGTGGAGGAATCTATGTGGAATATATGCTTCCTTTCCACTTCATCCCATTAAAAAAGGCATCATCCCCATGTAATACTCTTGACAAATATTTAGAAGTATTTTTTTCATTACCAGTCCTAGAAGGTTCCTCCAACTGCACAGTCTAAATATCCATGTGGTCTTCCATCTAGTGCTCCTAAGCAATGAGGCCTTTATCTTGTCCTTCCTTTATAAATGCTGAATCCTGTAATATATCCACGATATTAAAAAAGCAAAAGCATTCTGGAGCAAAATTGCAAAATCAAAATGTGTTGAGGGAGGGGGATTCAATACATAATTCAAAATATTAGCATGCACTCTTCATATCAGAGCTGAAAACTTCACAATTCAAACTTCTTTTTCAGGTTACACTTATGAAAATGATGGAAGTGGAAGGCAATCGGACATTGCTTACTGATTTTGTCCTGGTTGGGTTTACAACAGACCCATTTCTACGCATAATCTTCTTTATGCTGTTCTTGGCATCCTACACGCTAACGCTGGCTGGTAATTTTGGCCTTCTAGCACTGATCTACCTGGACTCCCACTTGCACACACCCATGTACTTCTTTGTGGGCAGCCTTTCCTTCCTTGATATTTGGTACTCCACGCTCTACACTCCTCGGATCTTGTCTGACTGTGTGTCCAAGAACAACCACATTTCCCTAGCTGGTTGTGCAGCACAGTTCTTCTTCTCTGCTGGCTTGGCGTACACTGAATGCTTCCTACTGGCCTTCATGGCCTATGACCACTTTGTGGCCATCTGCAACCCACTCCTTTATAACACTGCTATGCCCAAGAAGGTCTGCATTCAGTTGGTAGTAGGAGCTTATGTAGTGGGCTTTGCCAATGCAATTGTACACACTGGCAACACCTTTCGTCTACATTTCTGTGGTAATAATGTCATTAACCATTACTTTTGTGATGGACCACCACTTGTTAAAATGTCCTGTAATGACACAGGTGTCCATGAACTCATTGCAGCTACTGTTTTGGGTTCCAATTTGCTAGTACCCACAGCTATCATCTTGAGCTCATATGTTGGCATTGGAGCAGCTATAATTAACATCCGGTCAGCTGCAGGGCGACGGAAAGCCTTCTTCACTTGCTCAGCTCACTTGATGTCAGTCTCCCTCTTCTATGGTTCCATTTTCATCATGTATCTCACACCCAACTTTAACCACACTCCAAACTGGGACAAGACAAATGCACTGTTCTATACTGTAGTCAACCCTCTGGTCAATCCTTTCATTTACAGTTTACGGAACAAGGATGTGAAGGCAGCCCTCAAAAAAGTTGGTTGGAGATTCATAGCACCCAAATGAAGGCCATTGAAACTCTCTTTCTCTAGACAAATTTCAAACAAGTTAAACCTTACTTTATGGTATCAACCCTCCCTCCCCTCTCCCTCCCTCCCTCTTTCCCTCCCTGGTGGTCAAGGGAACCATCTTCAAAATCTCCAGATTTGTTGTTCTTGATGGGCAATTGTTTCTCACACACATCTTCCCAGTCCTTTCCCTACCCGAAAGCATCTTCAAAATATGGTGATTGGAGGGTAAATAGAATGAAGCATAGCACGCAAGATCAGGATGGAAACATTGGACAATGATAGACTAGGGACACAGTTTCAACCTTAGGAAAGATGAAAATGTATCAATTCAAGGTGTGCTTAATTATTTCCCAAACATTACCCACTATTTGAAAATTACTTATGGGCTTGTTTCTTAAAGCCCTCCTCATAGTCCCATTCTATAAATGTCCCTGCACTCGTGATTATTTTAAAAAGTATACAGCCTTAATCACATTGTCCCAAAACCCAGTCCTTTCCTGCCTCAGCAATCTGGCTGGACAGCCTTTCCTGGTTTCATATGGGATAGTTTAAAAGCAACAACAGGTGTATTTCTTCAGCTTCACTTCCTCCCCTACCAAGGATCACCCATTAAGAAGAGGGGGGAGGGAATCCGTAATTTTATTCTTCATTGAAGGGTGGAGTGGGGCTGAGCCTAACTGAAGGCAGGTAGGTAGCTGGGATCCAGGATTATTCACCTTTCAACTCACCAGAGTGTGACAGGGTGGAGCAACTGTGCCAGTAATCTGTCATTCAGTCTATTGTTGAACAGGGTGCTGCACTCTTTGCATGGCTGGAGCAGAAAAGGACTATTTTCCCCAATATCAATGAACACTTTATCCTTCCTTCAGACCTTCAGTAATAAAGCCCTGTGAAGAATCTTGAACCTGAGTCAATTCAGAATCTTTAAAATCATTTTAGCAGTTTTTAATTTTGTTCTCTGCTTCTTCTTACTATTTTTATTTTTATTATCGTTACTGCCATTAGTCATGGATTGTGAGCCATTAAGACATTTTAAGCTCTGCTGACTCATAGTTGGTATTCAGGTTCATGAATATTTGACTTTATCAGAAAACTTCAGTTCTAAGTAGGAGTCAAATGTTCTGCAAATGAATGGGGGATACATATTTGAGATCAATTACTGTGCAATGATTATTTCTTGTTATTGCTATTATTAATACTTATTACATTATTTTACCAGAATCAGAATTTTGTCACTCGTATTCACAATATTGGTGGTAAAAATCACCCGAAACAGCCACAAGGTCCCTTCCAAATCTGCTATTCTGTATATTCTGCATGNAAAGTCTAATTTTGACTTCTCTTGTGAGATGCTGATATAAGTATATTTAAGACCAAAGAGTTGTACAGGTAGTCCTCAACTTTTGACCATAATTGAGTCCAAAATATCTGTTGCGAAGTGGGACATTTGTTAAATGAGTTTTCCCCCATTTTATGATCTTCCTTGCCACAGTTGTCAAGTGAATCACTGCACTGTTAAGTTAGTAACATGGTTGTTAAATGAACCTGGCTTCTTCATTGACTTTTCTTGTTAGAAGATCTTAAAACATGATCACATGACCCCAGGAAAGTAAGAACCATCCTAAATATGAGTCAGTTGTCAAGTGTCTGAATTTTGATCACATGATTTTAAGGGTGCTGCAATGGTCAAAAGTGTAAAAAATGGTCATAAGTCATTCTTTTCAATGCAGTTATAATTTTGAATGATTTTGTCTTAATTTGGGATGCTATAAAGTGGAGCCATTGCAAGCCATCACCTTTTCCTTCCTCTGACAAAATTAAGCTTTTATGAAATATTGAGATTGTTTATTATATTGATTTAAAAGTGATTTTATAACACTGGGATGTGCTTGAAAGGCAGAGATGTGTCTCTGAAGCACAAAAATGGTTTGTCTTAGAATGCAAAACATGGAGTTTGTGTTCCCTTCAGGTCCAAAGAGCTGCTCTCATTTTCTTGCCCTTCATTGATTCTTTCCTTTCTCCAACTTAGGCCATTCCCTGATCAGGATTACTGCTCTGTTTCAGCTACCTGCGCTCTTCACACAGACATAGTGAGGACTGCTTCATTAAGAGAAGCCCTTCCTCAGCAGAGTTGGGGATCCAGGCACTGAGGAAGAAATCCTATCACAGCCCTTAACCCAGTCCCTATTCTGTACTTCTCCAGTTGCTGCTTTCTTGTTTACAATCTGAGCCAATTAATACTGGGGGGGGGGATACTAGTTACATTCCCCCACCCACTCATGTACTGTAGCATTCTTTACATGAGAATCAATGTCTGTGCTTGTAACCAAACATTAACTCTAGGAAGGTGGAGAGTTGAGCTGAAGAGAGTACAATCTATCCTATTTTCTACAGTATGTGTGTCTCTGCTTCATAAAACCATTTCTGAATCTTATAGGCCCCTCTTAATAAGGTGTTTCACTTCTGGAGGTGTGGACATTGAATCCCCAAGCATCATATTTTTATTCTTGCCACATAACTTGAGTAAATAGCTGGACTGTTGGCAGAATGACCTCCTGGGGAATCAGGGAGAAGCTTTCCAAAAGCATCAATTGAGTGAAAATAATTTAGTATCCTCTTGACCCAAACTTTAAAGAAGATTGACTAGGAAGAAAATTCTCTCCCCTTGACCTTCATTATTGATCCATAATGTTTACTAGGGATTTTAGAAAACTGCAATGATAAATATATGGAAAGTATCATCCCCCCCCCCAAAAAAAATTGGAGCATTAGGAAATATGTAGAAGCGTTGCTTGTATTACCAGTCCCTGATGGTTTCTCCAATTTCATAGTCATGCTTTCTTCATGGTCTTCCAACCAGTTTCTGTTTAGCACCAACTTGTTAACTGTCTAAGTCCCAACAAGGCCCATCAAGCACTCATTATGCTGAGACCACTTTCAGAAAAGACTAGGAAAATAAATGGAGTGTTCCAAAGCAAGGAGGCTCTTTTGCTATCCTTTACTTGTAAAACCTGAATCCTGTAAATATATACATAAGATTAAAAAAGCAGAAGCAAAAACATTTGGAGACAAAATTGACAAAAATATAGCAAAGGTGTTGGCTGTTCATCACATCATTCAAAATATTAGCATGTATTTTTTATATCATGGCTGAAAACTACACAATTTTAATTTCCTTTTCCTCTGTAAACAGGTTATGCTTATGAAAATGATGGAAGCGGAAAAGAATCGGACATTGCTTACTGATTTTGTCTTGGCTGGGTTTACAACGGACCCATTTCTACGCATAATCTTCTTTATACTGTTCTTGGCTGCCTATTTCATAACACTGACTGGGAACCTGGGTCTCATAGCCCTGATCTATCTAGACTCCCGCTTGCACACTCCCATGTACTTTTTTGTGGGCAACCTTTCCTTCCTAGATATCTGGTACTCTTCGGTCTACACTCCTCGAATCTTATTTGACTGTGTGTCCAAGAACAACCACATTTCCCTAGCTGGTTGTGCAGCCCAGTTCTTCTTCTCTGCTGGCTTGGCGTACACTGAATGCTTCCTATTGGCCTTCATGGCCTATGATCGCTTTGTAGCCATCTGCAACCCACTCCTTTATGCCCCTGCCATGTCCAGGGATTTTTGTACCCGGCTTGTGGTAGGTGCTTACGTAGCTGGGTTTGCCAGTGCCATTATACTCACTGGTAACACCTTCCACCTACGCTTTTGTGGAAACGGGGTCATCAATCACTACTTTTGTGATGTGGCACCACTTGTGAAGATGGCTTGTGATGACATAGGGATCTATGATCTCTTTGTGTCTTCTCTGATGGGTTGCAATCTGCTGGCAACCACAGCTGTCATCCTGAGATCCTACATTGGCATTGGGGCAGCCATAGTCCGCATCCGCTCTGCGGAAGGGAGACGCAAAGCCTTCTTCACTTGTTCAGCTCACTTGATCTCAGTCACTCTCTTCTATGGCTCCATTCTCATCATGTACTCCAGGCCTAACTCTCAACACACTCCAAAATGGGACAAGGCAAATTCATTGTTCTATACTGTAGTCAACCCTCTGGTCAACCCTTTCATTTACAGTTTACGCAACAAAGATGTGAAGGCAGCTTTCAAGAACGTCTGGGGGAAATTCACATTATCCTTCGTAGAATAGAATAAAACAGAATAGGATGGATTTGGCATGGGAAAAAGGGTCACTTCCCCATCCCCCTTGCTGTTCATCA